TTTCCCTAACATTCTACCCTTCTGCATATTGCTCATGTTTCAAATGGTTTAAGCTCTAGAGCTAAAAGTTCCATTTCTATTCATTATGTCTCAAAAGGTGTCTTATGCTACAAATCCTTAGACTAGCACTTAAACTTCTAAAATCATCCAATTATCATTTCCATTAATGTCAAGTTTTTAAACTCGCGAAAAATCATAACTTTGCACGAGACATAAGCATGTAATCCTAAATCTAAACGGTTGCGGTTTGATTTATGTCTTAACTTCTTTAGTGATAAAATACATAAATACCGAATAAGGAATTATTACATTCTTTATATTTTATTGAACTAGTGAATTGATACCCTAAATATCTATAAAAATACCAATTCAGATCTGGTACTTTAAAAACTGCCCTTTATATGTTTCTCACCCATTTTTGGGATTGAAATATCTTTTTATGCGTACTATTTAAATTATTTTAATACATAAAATTCTAAATCTAAAAATGAGAAATTTCCTTTTCAGAGTGATATGAATTTCATTTATAAGTTGTTTAACAAGTTTTTAGACTAAAATGGCAAAAACGACATTTACCAAGAGCATTTTCTTAGAAATATGAGGTACTTACTTGATATTATCTAAAGTAGTAGATTCTAATCCATTAATTTAATAAAATAAAAAGTATTAAAATACATTTTTCATTTGACGCTTTAAGCGTCCCAAACTTAACCTTAGATTATTAGTTTGTTTTAATTTGATGAAACCTTAGACTATTAGTTTGTTTTAATTTTTCATCAGTTAGAAATTTTAGTATTTTTGTCATTTAGATGTTTAAAAGAAGACAAAATTTAAAAACATTGAAACAAATTGATAAGTTAAGGATTAGTTTGAGATATTTTATAAATAGGGGAACAAAGTACGATTGGAGGTATTGTTTGGGGATCGGTTGTAGGATTACTTCGAAAAAAAAAAGGATTAGGTGAAAAATGGAAATGATGGAAAAACAGGCCATGGTAAATAAAAGTCGTCTTCCGCACCCTGTCCGAATGTCTTTTTTAATTTTTTTCCCTTTCTTTTCTATTTTTTGTTTATTTTATTTATTTTTATTGCCAATTTTCCTTCTCAGTCCACCTTCCTTCTCTCTCTAGAAAAAACAACAACGAAAACCAATAAAAGCTATTTCTTTCTCTCTCCTCTCTCTCTCTCTCTAGATCAAATTGACTCGGACTCTCTCTCTCTCTCTATTCCTCTCTGTCACGTACTTCAAACTTTCCTTCGCCATTTCTCGGGTCCGAGAAATTGGAGCTACATCTGATATTCGCCAAAGAAGCTTTCCTCGCCTTTTCCTCTTCCACAGCCTCAGATCGGGTCCGCAGAGGATCTTCGATTTTGAAGAAGAGCTGAAGAGAGAGAAAGAGACATTGTGTTTTTCGCATTTGGTTGTTTCGGCTCTGGATCTGACCGGCGATGGCTTTGTCCGGCATGCGAGGCCTCTCGGTCTTCATCAGCGACATTCGGAATTGCCCGAACAAAGAGCAGGAGAGGCTTCGGGTCGACAAGGAGCTCGGCAACGTCCGTACCCGCTTCAAGAACGAAAAGGTCAGTTTTGTTTGTTTTTTTCAACTCTAGGGTTTTAGGTTTCGCTTTGTTCGGAGACGGAATTTCTTGCTTTTTATGAGGTTTTGATCGGAAGCTCGGTGGATTCACGTCATTTGGTTTGAATTTGGGGATTTTGCTATTCTTGGATTCTTATTCCGATTTCTTTTCAATTTTAGGTTTGTGTTTTGTGTTGAGACTTGTGAATGCTTAAATGTTTCTTTATATGAAGTTGAGCACAGAGTTTCTTGGAATTTCAAGCTAATCGGAGACACTTCTTTATGTTGGATTTGTTAGTTGGTATGGGCGGTAGGAACTTGCTTATAAATGACTCATCGATGCTAAAATGATATTAGTTTAGCTTTTTGTTCAGTTTGAAGAAGCTCCTTTAGTTGCAAGCTTATATAACTAATAAATGCAAGCCAATTTCAGACAACAATCTTCCAATTTTTGCTTCAATTTATGTTTAGTTATTTATTTATGACGATAAGCATGAATACAGACACACGCTTAGCTTCACTTACATGGAAATGAGTGTTACTGAATCTCTAAGAAGCAAATAGGGGTCACTTGTTGTCCAAATCGTCTAATTGTTTACAAACTTGAAAAATACTTGTAAGGAAGCACATAATATGTAGGAATTGCATCTTGGCTTATATGGTTCGGGGTTTTGGAGGGCACAGAGTATTAGTCTAAGACCCAAGCTTTAATTATAATTGTAGGATGCCTTACCTAAAAGAAGTGATCATCTGTATGCTTCTTTGCTTAGGCTAGATCAACATGTGAAATTTGTACGAGGGTTGAATGAGTTATGTAATGGTATCTATTTTTGACCATCTTTGTACACAAAGCCAGATATGATCTCATAATGGCCTTTTAGATTAAGATTATATCATTTAAGATATTTCCAGCGTTCTGAAAAGCCGTTTGGGCCTTGGAATTCAACTAATATCGTCATTAGTTACTTAGTTGGTGATTTGGCGTGATTGTGGTGGCTGTGGGGCAAGCCAGAGTTAGAAAATGATTGTAGATCGTTTTTAGAGTCTTGGACAGTATCAACGTAAAGATTGTAGCTTTTGTCTCCTGTTTGTAATCTAACTTCTGATTTCATTCCACATTGTTGAATAAGATTTTGCATAAGGTGCCCATAAGTTTATATTCGTTTTGCTTTCACTTCTCTATATTTTCCATCTTTAATTCCTTTATTTATTTATTTGTTTGCTGATCCTTTAATTCCTTTAATTTGAACATGTGAATTTTGTCCTTATGTCAATTTTCATGAACAAAGTGATCGAACCCATTTTTCCAGATTACTTTTGTAATTGGTATTTGGTTCTTGAAGAATTCTGTTGCACACCAAGTATTTCTATGTCATTTCAGAAAGTAATGATCTCTTGCTTTCTGAGACTACAAACTTTACTTGAAACTGAGAGTGAAAATAGATGCTTTGATAGTGTGCAACCCCAGCTCCGTTATGCCTTCTTTATTTTCTCCACTGCTGCTGAAATGTGGTCCCCATTAATCTACCTCAATATGTATTGAATGACTTTTAGGTCTTAGAGGTTTTAAGGCTCCTGTTGGGAATGCTCAAGCCGTAATGCTGGAAAGTTCTTAGAGCTATAGTAAATGATGTTAAACTTAGAGCTATAGTAATCCGTCGTACTGCAGTTTAGAAATGAGTTTTTGGTTGTTGCTGTTGAGCTCATGCAATTGCAAAGTAGTTTTTACGCTTTTGACGATCTCTTATCACAGCACTGCAGGTTTCTGTTTTTTTTTTGGTAACACAAAGCCCAAACTATATTTTTATTGAATATGAGTGCGTAGGCTCCTACTTCGTTTGTTTATTTTTGTCTGGTATTTTAGCTTCCAAATCAGTTTAGAGAGAATTCTCATTCCCCCTTCCTCCCACCCCTCGTCATTTTTCTCATTGCTGTGTGGATAGTTGTCTTCTTACTCCTTAGTTGCCACCTGTTGCATGCTATTGACGAATTGCCATATCTTGTTGAGAAAGAGTTAGTACTTATTTTTAAAATCTATTGTTCTTTCTGCAGGGTTTGACCCACTATGAGAAAAAGAAATATGTTTGGAAAATGCTTTACATTTATATGTTGGGTTATGATGTGGATTTTGGTCACATGGAAGCTGTTTCTCTAATATCTGCACCAAAGTATCCAGAAAAGCAGGTACTTAATGTATTTTAACGTTAAATGCTTTATTGGCCTGTTCCAATATCTTTGATTTGCTGCACATAATCATGGTTGGTTTTAATTAACTGGAGTATTGCTTTATGATGTTGCAAAGGATTCATATCATATTAAGATTTTGTTACTGAACTGATGGGACTGATTACTAGTAGGAGTTGGCACAATTCAAGGCCATCATTTAAATTTACGTGCGAACTAATATTTGCTAGGGATACTACGAATCAAATTATGCTGCAAGTGGAAATCCTTAGTACTGATAGTCCTTAATGGTGCCTTGACGACTCATATGATAAATTCTTAGTGATAGGAATAGAACTTTTTTTATATTTTATTTTATATAATGGGATAGAAAACTCAAAGAATATATTAAATAAAAGTCAAGGATCATAAAAAGTACATGTCAAAAAGATTGATAATATATCAACCCGAGAACAGCATAAAACAACTCAGAAAATTACAATCTAATTAAAGAGAGTGATAGGGATAGGTATAAATTGATTTTTGTGCATTCAAGTATCAAATTGACTCAAATCATATTTAAGATTTGAGTATGTTAGCTTTTCCTTTATGTCCATGTATGGTATCCCCTCTTTGGAACTTACTTCCCATTCTGCTAAACTAACTGCAGGTTGGGTACATCGTGACAGCTTGCTTACTAAACGAGAACCACGATTTCCTGCGATTAGCCATAAATACAGTGCGCAATGATATTATTGGCAGGAATGAGACTTTCCAATGCCTGGCACTGACGATGGTATGCCTATAGAAATCCTGATGGAGTTTCTTAGCTTTTTTTCTTCGCCATTCTTTCTTCCACTCTTCTTTGAACAAATCTGTGATTGTATTAGAGGGAAAATTTCTAGTTTTTGATTGTTTGCCAAAACCAGATATCAGGGTAAGTTTTAGTTTTTGATTGTTTGCCAAAAGCGCATAATCTGTTTATCCTTTTGAAGATGCTTGTGAAAAGTATATCCTGCATTAAAGCACATTCTTTTATGCCTTTTTTTTTTTTTTTTTGTGTATCCGATTTCATTTTGGAATGTCTTAGGTTTTTTTTTTTTTTTTTTTTTTTTTTTAAAGCTTTTATCTGCATAATTCTTTTGTTACTTCTTTGCCTTTTCTTTTTAGCAGTGTGTCATTTCGCTCTGTTCATTTCAAAATTGTTTCTTTTATAACCATGTGCTCCACTATTTCTCTGTAGGTTGGGAATATTGGTGGAAGAGAATTTGCTGAGTCTTTAGCACCTGATGTTCAGAAGTTAATTGTAAGAGACAACACAACTCACATTTAGGGTAAACTATAGTAGAAAAATGATTGATATTGACCTTGCTTTTAATTTAGATATCTAGCAGCTGCAGACCGCTTGTAAGAAAGAAGGCTGCGTTATGTCTACTGCGTTTGTACCGGAAAAATCCTGATGTAGTAAATGTAGATGGATGGTATGTTTCTTGCGTTTCTTTCTTGACAGAAAAATTCCCAGCACAAAATTTGTGGTGTGTTTGTGTGTGCGTGTGGTGTTTTACTTCTTTTAATTTTTCTTTTTCCTTGTATATTAGGGCGGATCGTATGGCTCAACTTTTGGATGAACGTGATCTTGGTGTTTTGACATCCTCTATGAGCCTTCTTGTTGCCCTTGTATCAAATAACCATGAAGCTTACTGGAGTTCTCTTCCAAAATGTGTTAAAATACTGGAGCGGCTTGCTAGAAATCAGGATGTTCCACAAGAGTACACTTACTATGGGATCCCATCTCCTTGGCTTCAGGTCTCTAATTTCTTTTCCCTCCCGGATTCATTGCATGTTTTGATTACAGCTGAACTCCTAATCATCTTTGCTCATTTATTTTTGACTTTGGACAAAAATAGAACAGTTTTTGACCCCTCTAGAACCGTGGGATCTAATGGGTGCAGTTCATTTGGTATGACGAACTATGAAAGGCTGTGTATTTCTTGGTTTTAATAAGCATTTCAGGAAGAATCAGGGGATTTTGGATGGCTTGGGGAAATGAATACGCATTGTTGAATTTTGACATGAAATTAGTATCCTACTACCATATCATAATCATAATTAAAAAGATTCAGGCTCATCATGGATGGTCATTACAGGTTAAGACGATGAGGGCTCTACAGTATTTTCCTACTATCGAAGATCCAAATACCAGAAGATCATTGTTTGAGGTTTGTCTTTCTCAAGTATCTTATTCTCATTCTCATTCTTGCTACATTTAGATTATCTTGTCTTTTCTTTCTTTTATTTATTTATTCATCTATTTATTTATTTGTTGAAATGTATTTTGTGTTTTCAGGTCTTACAACGGATATTGATGGGCACTGATGTTGTGAAAAATGTAAACAAGAACAATGCATCGCACGCTGTTCTTTTTGAAGCCCTTGCTCTTGTAAGTATCCAGCCCAGAAACAGAATTACTTTTTAGTTTTTATCTTTATATTGGGTATTTTTTATTTGACTCAATGAAAGTAGGTTCTTCTTATGACATATTTGTTTTTTGTATTATGCCTCGTAAGTATAGGCGCAGATCCTGCAGCCTCCCAGGCTGAAATTGTAGAAGTGTTAAAACTCCATATACTTTGCATCCTTTTCCCTTAAAAAGTAACTGTTAAAATAAGATTTGAGTGAAGATACGTTAGCTTCTTTATTACTGCCATAGCTATGCTTACATAAACAAACAAATTTATGTGTGGAACTCAAAACATATTATACATATTCATAGAACTGTAATCCTCTGGATGATTCCCTTCTTCCACCTCCCTCGTTCCCTCTCCCTCCCTCCCTATCCCTCCCTATCCCTCCATGCAACATGCAAACACACATATCCACCTTGTACATATACTTCCCACGTGTACACTTTTTCCATGCACAAGAACTTATATTTCCAATGCAGAGCGTTTGTCTGCATGTTATCAGTCTTTTCAATTACTTTCTTGTCAATTAATATTGTGGGATTCTCCAAGGGCGAGTGGCTGCCATTATTTATTTATATATTTGAATTTTTCTGCAGTAATTTGAAGTTTTTTAATTATTATTTTTTTAGTTCAGTACAACTAGCACGCGCTTTATCTTTCGTGCTCTGATTCCTGTTTCAGGTTATGCATCTAGATGCTGAAAAAGAGATGATGTCTCAGTGTGTTGCACTTCTGGGAAAATTTATAGCTGTGCGAGAACCGAATATCCGATATCTTGGGTTGGTGAGTTTGAAAAGCTACTGTCTTTTGTTCTGTTTAAGTTTCTCGACCAGAAAGTCATGACATCTTCACTTTAAACATGCAAGAGATCACCACTTTGTAGTTTGAAGATCTGATTTTCAATGCTTTCGTGTAGGAGAATATGACGCGCATGTTGATGGTAACAGATGTGCAAGATATTATTAAAAGACATCAGGCTCAGATTATCACCTCATTGAAGGATCCCGACATCAGGTAACTTTGCTGTCCTGCAGCATGCTATATATACCTTATTGTTACTGATCATTTGAATAATCAAGAAGCCACATTTTGATCCTGGATTTTCTGTTAGAACTATTTTTTTTTTTATAAGAACAAAAACTTCATTTATATAGAGAAAAATTACAATACAAATGAAGTTTCAAGATGGTTGAGAGAACCATCTTCGACAGAAAACAAACAGAAAAAGCAAAACAAAACAAAGAGCAAAAACACAGGCAAAATGTACAAGTTATCTTAGTACATCCTCCCAACTTAACAAGATTAAAGATAATGAATAATGCTTAAATGATTTATCTGTTGAAGCCCAGAAATACGATATTTCGCTTTCTCAAATAGATCCTTAAATAACAATTCTCTGTCTTCAAAAATCCTTTGGTTCCTCTCCCACCATATGACCCAGAGGATAGCCAAACACATTGCTCTCCAACTTGTCTGGGCCTTCTTGTTCTTTCCGAATCCGAACCAGTCTTCCACCAGAACCGCGCCACTATGAGCTGGAAAACCCAACTTAAATCTGCCACCCCCAACAGCTTCAACCAGAGTCTCCAAGCTAAGTCACAAAAGTCCGAAGGGGAAGAGCAATAAAAAATGGTCCTTACATTCTGTGTGAATGCTTGCTACTATATGGTGCTTAGTATTTTGATAGTGATTGGAGAATATTTAAACTAAGGGGAAGAGCAAGTGCAATGTGTTTATTTAATCTTCGCTAAAAGATTTGAAGTGACACAAGTTGAGTGTATCTTGTAAATTTATTGCTTAACTCTGCTTCACGGTAGAATCTGGAGCAATTAAGTAGCAAAGAAAGTCTTTAGAGGGTAAAAGGTAATATTTTTGCTAGGTTATTCCACTTATAGGACATCCTATATTTCGTATTTTTCTTTTGAACTAAAGAAAAATAAAAGATTTCTCCAGAATGAAAGTGAAGAAAGGGTATTTTGTTTATATGGTTAAGCATAAAGCTAATTGTTGAATCAAGGAACATTGCAGTGTCCAAATACTCTATTTGGTGCTCTTCCGTAATTATATTCATGCAAACTGACGTCACATTCTATCAGTATTCGTAGGCGAGCACTCGATTTGCTTTACGGCATGTGTGATGTTTCAAATGCAAAAGACATAGTTGAGGAAATATTGCAGGTACAATATTTTTAGACAGACTATTGTGATTTTATTGTTTCTTTCTTTCTTTTTACATTTTTTTTTTTTTTTTTCCTAGTCTTTTCGAGTCTTCTTTTGTTTCTCTTCTAAATTAGTGTACTGTGATAATATCTTCCAAAACAAAGATATGTTAACGACTTTTTTTCTGTTTTTAGTATCTTAGTACGGCGGAATTTGCAATGCGTGAGGAATTGTCACTTAAAGCTGCTATACTTGCGGAAAAGTTTGCCCCTGATCTTTCATGGTAAGCATGTCCCACGCTATAGTTCCTGTCGGCATGACAAGCTTAGATGTTATCTTCTTGAGGTTGTGCATATTGACATTATTCAATGTAAATATTATTTAGGTACGTGGATGTAATTCTTCAGTTGATTGACAAGGCTGGAGATTTTGTGAGTGATGATATATGGTTTCGGGTTGTGCAATTTGTTACAAACAATGAAGACCTACAGGTGATTATTGCTTTCCTTCTCTTTATGATATGCGTGTTAATAACTTAAAGGATTATTTGTTAACTATAGCATTATTGACTCAATTTACTTGATCAGCCGTATGCAGCTGTAAAAGTCAAAGAGTATCTTGACAAGCCAGCCATACACGAGACAATGGTTAAGGTGTGTATATGCTACTGTCATTTGCCTCGACCTTATGTAATTATATATGCGCCAAGGACGTAGTCCCTCAGGGATCGGTCCCTCATGTTACGTTATAGCTCAGGGGAGGTAACTAAACAAATGTGCTGTGTAACAAATTTCGTTTTTTCTTTCTGCTTTCTCTAGAGGACTCCATGTCCTCTGCCCCTGTAATTGATATTCAATAAACGCAAGCTGATCATGGGGGGGGGGGGGGGGGGGTTTTTTTTTTTTTTTTTTTTTTTTTTTTTTTTGTCTTTTAACTATGAGGTTATCCATTACCTCCCCTTAATTATAATGTCACCCATGTTCTGAGGGACTGGTCTTTCTAAGGGATTAAAGCCAAGCCCCTGGATAAAAGGAGATTTTGTTTAATATGGAGAGAAGAGATAGATCCTATACTGGTAGGAGGCTTTGAGATACAATTTACTTTTAGTATGACCTGCCATTCAGTTTCAACATGCCAGCTAAGTATAAGCTATGTATATGAACAAAAAATCTTAATGAGGATTTGTAATTAATTCCACTGTCCAAAGTCGGACCCATTGTTTGTCATGTATTTATTTTCTGTTCTCAATGAAAAAGATTATAATGAAGCCGGAGCTTAAAGATTGTTTATAGAATTTTACTGTTATGCCTGAATACTGGAATGTTTTGTTTTGTCCAGTGCATTCTTTCATACAAAACTAGTTGTATATAGGTTTGTTCCCGTCAATCAACTTTAAAACATTTTCTACGATGTAAATAAGCATCTTAATTTTTTGAATAACAAAGTTAACTAATATTGATGTGCAAGTTTAACCAGGTATTTAATATATATCACAGGTAAGTGCGTATATCCTTGGAGAATTTGGGCACCTTTTGTCTAGACGGCCTGGGTGTGGTCCAAAGGAGTTATTCAACATTATACATGACAAGCTTCCTACTGTATCGTACGGATGCTTAACCTTTTTCCCTCTGTACCTTTCTACCAGCATTTTGCTTCCTACGGTATCTTATCTGACGTAATTTGTTTGCAGAACTTCTACGATACCCATTCTTCTTTCAACATATGCTAAGATCTTGATGCATACTCAACCACCGGATCCGGAACTACAGAATCAGATTTGGGCGATATTCAGCAAGTAAGTTTTACCTTTAAACTTATTTTCTCTGTTGATAAATTCAGCTTCTAAAGGCGCTTTGTTTGATATACTTTGATGTCTTTTAGATATGAGAGCTGCATTGATGTTGAAATACAACAACGAGCTGCGGAGTATTTTGCCTTGAGTAGGAAAGGTGCAGCTCTAATGGATATATTGGCTGAAATGCCCAAGTTCCCAGAGCGACAGGTAAATTTGTTTGTTTGTTTGTTTTTATTTTTTTATTTTTTTTTTCCTTTTCCAAGCATTTATTCCAATCAGCTTATCTGTCGCTTTGTTGTGTGCATTGCATTTTGTGAAGTGTTGATCAAAGTCTGCTTAGAGTTAATTCTCACCAAACGTAATATTTCTTTCAAATGTAGTCATCCTTGATCAAAAAGGCTGAAGATGCTGAAGTTGATACTGCTGAACAAAGTGCTATCAAGTTGCGGACCCAGCAGCAAATGTCAAATGCTTTAGTTGTAACTGACCAACGTCCTGCTAATGGCACTCCCTTAGTGGGCCAGCTCAGTCTCGTCAAAGTGCCCAGCATGACCAATAATACGGTTAGGGTTCCCCCCCCCCCCCTCTAATCTTTATTATTATTATTTTCTGTTCATACTTACAATAGGGATGTTCTCTTCCTTGTAGATTCTGCCAATGAAAGTTTTGTTATTACAGACTGTTTCTGTTTAAAACTTGAAAGGTCCTAATATAATCTGAGTTCATGGCAATTGACAGGATGTCAATTCAGCTGATCAAGGATTGACCCCGGAAAATGGGGCCTTGACTACAGTTGATCCACCACAACCTTCAGCTGATCTTCTTGGTGATCTTTTGGGTCCTCTGGCTATTGAAGGTCCTCCAACTGCCATCCAATCTCAGCAAAATATAGTCTCTGGATTGGAAGGTGATCATGCAGTGGAAGCCACAGCCATAGTTCCTGTTGATGAGCCACAGAATTCTGTACAGGTACTTTCTATTATGCTCGTGTTTGAGTCTGACCATTGATATGCTCTTCTTCTCTTCCAGAGATGCGGGTGGAATGTGAAGGTGTTGTATGTAATGAGCTACGCTGCTAATTTTTTTGCCTCCTAGTTATCACGGATTTTCTGTTGTTCCTTTTTGATTTGGTTGCTTCACTGATTTTGTCTGTATATTGACATAATATCAAGTCCTAGTTCAATATATCCGTGCTATGAATAATATGCTCAAACAGACTTACCGTATTGTATCTATCGTGCTCACGCTCTATATCTTTCTGTAACAACATTATAAAACTTGGTAAGATTTTACTTGGCTATTGAAGGTTGCTGCATAATTTCAAACTTGTGACTTTCATTTCTTGCGGTATTCAGAAAATGTGATGATTTCTTTGTTCCTTTTTGCAGCCAATAGGAAACATTGCCGAAAGATTTCATGCTTTGTGCTTGAAGGATAGTGGTGTTCTTTATGAGGATCCTCATATTCAGGTTTAGTCTACAAATGTTATCAGTGTACTTGTGTTTTATCTCAATAGTTTAAGGGCTCGTTTGGTTCATGGGTTTAAGTCAGTGATGTTTTATTCTGAGCTCAAATTTTGTGAGAGAATCCATTGGTGGGAACTTTTTTTATTCAAATTTTTTGTGAGAGCAATATCAAAATCATGGATTCTAGTCAGTGAACCAAACGGGTCCTAAGTTAGCTGTAAGACATTTTGAAGCATAAGCTTTAACAAGGGTTTTTTTTTTTTTTTGGTTGCCTCTTGTTGTGTTATCTAGATTGGCATAAAAGCAGAGTGGAGAATGTATCATGGGCGTCTTGTTCTTTTCTTGGGAAACAAGAACACCACACCACTTGTTTCAGTTCAGGCTATAATTTTGCCTCCGTCCCATTTAAAAATTGAGCTATCGTTAGTACCAGAAACTATTCCTCCTAGGGCACAGGTAAAGACATTATTGTAGTAATTTGGTTCTTGATGGACCAATAGGACACTCGATCTTCATGCATTTCACTTTGGTGAATATAGGTGCAATGCCCACTTGAGGTTGTGAATCTCCGTCCAAGCAGGGATGTGGCAGTGCTGGACTTTTCCTACAAGTTTGGTAACAATGTGGTACTTACATCTAAATTTTCTGCTTCTTTAGTTGCCCGCAGAAACCAAGTTATTCATAAGTAAAATGAAATCTTATAATTTTTATTCTACAGGCCAATGTCAAGCTTCGTCTGCCAGCTGTCCTAAATAAATTTCTTCAGCCTATATCAGTATCCGCGGAAGAGTTTTTTCCCCAATGGAGATCACTATCAGGACCACCTCTGAAGCTCCAAGAAGTGGTGTGTTTCTGCATATAACGGCACATGCCTTCTATGTTCTTCTATAGAAGTATTCTAGATAAAACTAGGTTTTGATAGTTATCCTATAATTTAATTGGTTTCCATTTGGTTTATAGGTAGACAAGTGTCATGCATGTTTACCAATTGAGTTTGGATTGCGTGTATTGACAATCACTTCAACTCACAGGAGTCTCCATTTTTCTGGAAACATAACTTAGTGATATGCTTTGTGCTTAGAACTTATATATATCATATCTGATGGTGGTAGGAGTCTATTATTATTATCTGATTCTGGTCGGTAATGGTGACAAGTAGGCCATCATCATTTTTGTTTACTTCTAAGTAGAATGATACGTAGGATATTAACAAGTTATTAGAATTCAGCATATTTTTCTTTGATTCGCAAGGTTAAAGGGCTATGTGTGACTAGGCACTGTTTAGCTATATATGATCATCTCTTTCTGTTATTTGTGCAGGTTAGAGGTGTAAAACCACTACTGCTCATGGAAATGGCAAATTTATTTAATAGTTTCCGGTTAATCGTTTGTCCAGGGCTTGTAAGTCATACTTCACCATTTTGATACTTGGAAATCTTTTTGTTATGTAGAGTTTCTCACTTCTCATTTTCTGTTTTAGGATCCCAATCCAAATAACCTTGTTGCAAGCACCACATTTTTCTCCGAAAGTACACAGGCCATGCTTTGCTTGGTAAGGGTTACATGTTCATTTTCAGCGCTTTCATGGATGAAATTGATGCCAACATTCTTGAATAATAAAGCGTTTATCACTCACAGTCAACGCATTTAAATCTGTGGTCAGCAACGAGTAAATGTTTTGCTTTATGTCTCTTCTGCGATACAAAGTGCATGTTTGCAGTTTTCTTGGTATTTGGGGTGTAGTTAAGGGTGTGGGACGTTAAAATATATATATATATATATATATATATTCATATACGAAACCAAATAAGAATAAAAGCAAAGAAAATAATTGTAATATGTAGACAGACAAAACCAAATAAGAATGAAAGGAAAAGGGATGGTGCACAAAGTCGCAACTAAAAACTTTTCTTCTTTGCTCAAGCAAAATGAAATTTTCTTTTCCTTGTGCAATTTTTTTTTAAAATTTTTTTATGATTATCTTTCAGTTTTGGCGGATTTTGGAGAGTTGGGATATGCTTTTGTGTGTTATCCTGTGCTGACTTTAACTCCCCTTCAACTCCTAGTTATCTTGATTCGTATACATATCATTAGTGTTGCTGGCCTGCCTGTTTTATGGTAGCGTTTTTATTAGTTTTTAGGGTGTGAACTACATCAAATTAATTTGCTTTTGAAATGAGTTTTGGAATTATCGATGACCTTATGATGCAGTAATTATGCCCGTCTTTGACACCCTATTTCCCCTTTTCCCCCCAACTTCAGGTTAGAATTGAAACAGATCCAGCTGACAGAACTCAGTTGCGGGTGACAATTGCCTCAGGAGACCCTACACTGACATTTGAGTACGTATATGACGATCCCCGTCTTCAATTAACATTATACGATCCCCGTCTTCAATTAACATTTGGTTTTGCTACACAGGCAGATTCTTATAACCTCTGTTGTGCAGGTTGAAGGAGTTCATTAAAGAACAATTAGTTAGCATACCGTCAGTCCCCACAGCCCCTCGTGCATCACCTGGACAGGCGCCACCAGCGCCTCCAGTAGCCCAACCGACCAGTTCGGCAGCAGCATTATCAGATCCTGGGGCTCTGCTGGCTGGCTTGCTGTGACAGAGGAAGGTGATAGCTGCCTGAGGAATTGTTCATTAAACATTAAACACAAAAAAAAAAAAAAAAAACCTGATTTATACCGCCTGCCCACCCGGTTTATCCCTCCGAGTTAAAGAGGTTGATCAATCGTCGATGATGCAAGAGCTGGCGGGAAATTAAGGGTGAGCTAATTTGTGGTCGGCTTTGTGTCGTGAGTTGGGGATTTTGAGGGGTTGGTCGGGGTTTTGAAATTCTTTTCTGCACATTGCAGTTGTGCCCAAGTGAGATAGTTTTCTTTTTTCCTTTCTCGGGTTGAGGTTTTTGTTTCTTTTTCATTTCATTTTGTCAGTTCCCTGATAGTGAATTGGTTTCTGTAATACCTATATTTGACAGCGTGTAAGATATCCCATGTAGTAGACTAGTTGTAAAAGTATGGCGTTGTTTGTTAGTCGTAACACCATTAAATAAGAAAATTTATTTGATATTCATATACGAAACCAAATAAGAATAAAAGCAAAGAAAATAATTGTAATATGTAGACAGACAAAACCAAATAAGAATGAAAGGAAAAGGGATGGTGCACAAAGTCGCAACTAAAAACTTTTCTTCTTTGCTCAAGCAAAATGAAATTTTCTTTTCCTTGTGCAATTTTTTTTTAAAATTTTTTTATGATTATCTTTCAGTTTTGGCGGATTTTGGAGAGTTGGGATATGCTTTTGTGTGTTATCCTGTGCTGACTTTAACTCCCCTTCAACTCCTAGTTATCTTGATTCGTATACATATCATTAGTGTTGCTGGCCTGCCTGTTTTATGGTAGCGTTTTTATTAGTTTTTAGGGTGTGAACTACATCAAATTAATTTGCTTTTGAAATGAGTTTTGGAATTATCGATGACCTTATGATGCAGTAATTATGCCCGTCTTTGACACCCTATTTCCCCTTTTCCCCCCAACTTCAGGTTAGAATTGAAACAGATCCAGCTGACAGAACTCAGTTGCGGGTGACAATTGCCTCAGGAGACCCTACACTGACATTTGAGTACGTATATGACGATCCCCGTCTTCAATTAACATTATACGATCCCCGTCTTCAATTAACATTTGGTTTTGCTACACAGGCAGATTCTTATAACCTCTGTTGTGCAGGTTGAAGGAGTTCATTAAAGAACAATTAGTTAGCATACCGTCAGTCCCCACAGCCCCTCGTGCATCACCTGGACAGGCGCCACCAGCGCCTCCAGTAGCCCAACCGACCAGTTCGGCAGCAGCATTATCAGATCCTGGGGCTCTGCTGGCTGGCTTGCTGTGACAGAGGAAGGTGATAGCTGCCTGAGGAATTGTTCATTAAACATTAAACACAAAAAAAAAAAAAAAAACCTGATTTATACCGCCTGCCCACCCGGTTTATCCCTCCGAGTTAAAGAGGTTGATCAATCGTCGATGATGCAAGAGCTGGCGGGAAATTAAGGGTGAGCTAATTTGTGGTCGGCTTTGTGTCGTGAGTTGGGGATTTTGAGGGGTTGGTCGGGGTTTTGAAATTCTTTTCTGCACATTGCAGTTGTGCCCAAGTGAGATAGTTTTCTTTTTTCCTTTCTCGGGTTGAGGTTTTTGTTTCTTTTTCATTTCATTTTGTCAGTTCCCTGATAGTGAATTGGTTTCTGTAATACCTATATTTGACAGCGTGTAAGATATCCCATGTAGTAGACTAGTTGTAAAAGTATGGCGTTGTTTGTTAGTCGTAACACCATTAAATAAGAAAATTTATTTGATGAAATAAAGAAGAATGTGGATGGGATGCTGTTGCGCTCTCTCTCTCTTTTTCCCTTTTTCCAATTTCCCGAATGCGGATGTTTTTCCCTCTTTTTCTTGTTTTGTGTTTGGAAAACTGTGATATTCGGTTTATTACTACAATTTTCTAGTAAATATTATTGTGTAAAATGGTATTTTCACCAATCTGAAAAGCAATGATCCTCCATTTCTAGAGCCACTTTGCATTCTCACTCTGTTCCTATAATTCACCGATTGAAAAAAGAAATGCTAACTTGCATATTGGACTTCATTAAAAAAAGCTGAAGAATTAATAGAAAGCCGAAGCATTACATCGTACTAATTTTATTCATCTGAAAAGTAATGCGAGCAGGTAGCCAAGTAGACTACTGTAATTAAGACTTGAACTTTTACTAACAAGTTGCAAATTCAGAAAGCAGACAGTCTATATCTATAGTGGAAATTGGATTTTGTTCATCTCATTTGACGCGTTCATGACGAATAATTAGGTAAGATTGGTGCTCGTACGAGCTCGAAGGCTTCGCCAGCTCGCACATTTTTGGAGAGTCGGAGCTTCCAGTAATCGTCAGAACAGAAAGGAACGTAGAGACGGGGTGTTCATTGTCAACCAGTTCTGGAGGAGCTTCTACCACTTCCGTCATTTGGTCCCAACAAAAATGTTATTGACACCCTAATGGCTGATTCCTTGCACTCTACTCTATGCCGCACATTGCAGAACCTCCCGTTGCTCCATACCTTCGATTATTTTCATTCTCATACAATTAGCAAAGAAAAGTATATTATTACGGTCCGTTTAGTTCGCTGATTCAAGTTTTTAATTCAAGTTGAGATGTGAGTTTTTTACTATAACAAAAAAGTTAGATGTGACTGTTTCTGAGAGCTTTTTACTTAGCAAAACTCGAATCGGTAAATAAAGGGGGCCTTAGAAATGCAAAACTCTACTCATAAAGTAAGTTCCTGGAGGATCAAATTTTATTAAATTAATCTTTTGAATTAGAGTAAATTTAAGATGGATAATAAACTCTGACATAATTTCATAGTCCAGAATCATCCCTGCAAGATAAGAGTTTCCCTTCTCCCTAATCTTAGCTGCAGCCAAATTTAAATGGAAACATAATAAAAGAGTGGCATTAACTTGCATACCGTTGCAATGTCCCCAAGATTGAGGAAGAGAGTGCCTGGCCAAGGATCCACTGCAACAAATTCACCCTTTTTGTTCATCACTTCGAACCTAGAGACTCAGGAGTGAAATTGTATTTATTCATCCTCAACTGGAACGGCCATCCCTTGAACAAATCACCGGCCAGTCCCATGTTTTTTGCTAATTTTCGACAAATATCCATGGCCAGCTCATGCACTGCCATTGCATACGTTTCTATTATTTCTCTGTAAAATTGAACAAATGTATTTTTATCCATTAAAGTCGTAACAAGAAGTAGCCAAGTCTGCAGATTCTCGTCTTTTCTTTTCTTTTCTTTTAATAAGAACATTATTCTATGTGTCTCAGACTCATAGACAATATTATTACGCGACAAATTACTTTTTTTTTTTTTTTTGCTCAAGACGTGACAATGTACTTGTAATAGTGATATTTAGCTTTTTTTATTTTTTTATTTTTTTTTTTACAATATGGTAGGCTAGATCAAACCCATGCAAATTATAACATGTATCTAATTAGACTGAAACCATGCATCTATTCAATATCACATATCACGATCATAGGTTATTTTGTCAACAAAAATTCCAAGAATCACAATAACCTCAGCATTAGAGAGATTACATGTCCATGGGGATTTTTTTTTTTTTTTTTCACAAACTTCGTAGAGGACCTTAATATATTTAGGTTTATTTTATATGTAGCACTGTTTTCAAAAAAAAAATATGTAGCACTAAGAAAAATGTGGACAGCACTCATTTTGATTTTTTTTTTTTTTGGTTTATCTCAAAATGATCCCAAATTTTATACCATATTTTCATTGATCCCTTTCGTTAAAAACGTCTCAAAATGGAAAAACAAACAACTGAGTCAAGCGGGGAACTCGAATAATTGAAGTGTACTTGTTAAATGCCCTTAGAACCATAAGAGAAGTTATAACAAATATTTACTCTTCTTGAACATAATATACCAAATAAAAAATATGAACAACACACTAAAATTTTCAATCAATTAATATCGCTAATGAAATTTCTATTTTATTCTCACTTAAATATACATTGGTTGTATCATGTATGTGATCTCTTCAATCTAGATTTTAATTCGCCACAACAAGATAAATCGGAGTAAATTTATCATAGGTCAAAATGGGATTTGATGTAAAGTTCTTGAGTATTTTGGGTTTTTATTCTTTTTCTTTTTTAGGAATATAACTCTCACGTCATAATGACAATAGTTACGACACGTCGTTGTTACTGTCGTCAAGTTGTACGAAAGAAAAATAATCAAAACAAATATTTATAATTTTTTTTTTCGGTGCTTAAAAAAAAGCTTAAAAAAAATTGGACCCAATACATTTTCCACTCAAATGCTTCACTTCAAGAAAGCGTTGTCTGACTCAACTACAAAGCATCGGACTATTAAATCACGTCAATATTATATGAGAACTAAAAAAGTAGGTAAAATTCACGGATTTTGATGAAGATAAATGGTTCAAAGTAATGGTGAATGTTAGAATGGAGTAATCAGTTTTCATTAAAAACATGCTAACATCATTCTTTCTATTCTTAGTGGAGTTCATGTGTCAAATAATAAATATAGAGAATGAAAAAATGACGTTAACATTTTTTACAAAAAAAAACAAAAAAACAAACAAAATGAAAGAGATAACAAAAAATCAGACCTTTGGTGGGAAGAGGTATCCAACTGATCACAAAAGGAGCGAAGAGCCTCTCGCGAGGAGGGTTCGCCTTCGACAGCCCCACGTACCCGCGTCATATTAAGGCATCAACGGTGCGCCTCTTGATCTCCATTGGACAGTCCAGAAGACATCTCACAACCTCCTTCATCTCAACCATCAGAGTCACTGACATTCCATTGTTGACTATCCTGAAACACCCCCATTCCTCACAAGCTTCTCTCATGCTCCGCTCACTTCATCGATTAAAGTTTAAAATTTGAGTTTTATTACAGTAAAAAACTCTTAAAAACAGTCACATCTAACTTTTTTATTACAGTAAAAAATTCTCACATAAAGTTACATCTCAATTTGAATTTAAAACTCGAATCATCGATCTAAACGTGCTCTCAGTTTCTTGCACGCTTCCAAACTTGAATCTCCAAATTCTCTTATATCAATCACTGGAATAGCACTATTGGTTATATTTCTCTCGGTTTCAATACCATTCTCCATTTTCTCTTCTTTTGCTGCTCTTCTCTTTGAAAATAACATTTGTATTTATTGCTTCTCCAAGTTGTCAAAACTTTGTTTGGACTTTGGAGTACTTGCGTAAAATGCTTTCTAACTTGAGTGGTTGAATAACGATCTTACGTGTGCTACAAGAAAGTTGCCTTGTTTTTTTTTCTTAGCATGCATTTCATGCTATGCTTTTCTTCCAACTTCTTTCTTTTCGTTCTTTTAAAATAGAAATCTCATTTACACAAAGGATCAAAAACATCAATATCAGACTTTAACTGCAACATCAATCACCAATTCTCCCAGTGGCGGAGGTACATAGTACCAGCACTTAAATTTTTTTAGAAGAAATATTACCTCATAAAATTTAGTGATTTTACACTAAAGCCCCACTAAAATATAAACTGCCCCCACTCAAATAATATCTTTCTTTGTACGCGGTTATTATTTCACTTTACTTTTTAATTTTTTGACTTTTCATCCACTCTATTCTTGCGAATGAAAAAGTTCTGAAAAAGAAAAAAGACGAATCAAAATGATTATTGAATGATTTTTTTAATAATAAAATATGTGAATTGTCAGACGATTATAAGTTTTGTTATCTTAATTTCTGTTGTGATGCCCACTTTAGTTGTATTTTTTATTTTTCTATAAGTACTTTTCTAGCTTTTTGCTCACCTGGACATGCATTTTATACCTCTAATGGCTTTAGTTTGATTTTGTTTTATGTGTCGAAAAAAAAAAATTCAAAATTCTAAAAATTCTAAATATCAGTACAACTGGTTTTTATAATTGTTCGTATAACTTGGAACTCTTACTGCAGATTAGAACCAAAATATAGCATTCAAAATGACTAAATGAGCATATGTTTGGCAATGCTTAGTCTAAAAAGTGATTATTTAATCCATTTATGGGAAGTTATATTTCATTAATTCGTAGAAATAATAATGTAGAGCCACTTGTATTTTAGTACTCATGATTTCTACCGTCTTATTTGGCAAGTGAAGAACTATGATCAAGTCTTAAAACTTGATCTTTTCATTCGGCAACCCTTGCCATGGTTCACTAGTATTACAGTTCGCTTCACAAGATAAAACTACTTGTTTTACTACTCTTTTTGTATTCCTAATAAATGCATATTCTGAAAGCATAATAAGGTGTATTTGGAAAGTTCAGCACGAATTTAGTGAGACTCGTGCTCGTACGAGTTCAAGGGCCTCACCGGCCTGCAACTTTGTGGAGAGTCGGATCTTCCTGTAGTCTTCGTAAGAAAAAGGAACGTAAAGACGCGGGTGTTCATCATCCACCAACTCTGAAGGGGCTTCAACTTCTTCCCCCTTCGGTCCCAATAGAAACGAAGCTATCGAAACCCTAATACTAGCTTCCTTGCATTGTACGCGATGCTTCACATTGCAGAATCTCCCGTTGCTCCACGCCTTAGATCGCGATTATTTTACACAAACAAATTACCAAAGGAAATGTATGTAAGTACTCATGCTAAAGATTTTAATGCAATTAAAAGAAACTTTAATTATTAATGTAATCACGGCGATTGTCAATAGTCACGAAAGAGTGACGCGATTGACCTTAACACAAGTCTGTTGTTTAATTCTTAACTAAAGTAGGGCTCCTATTATTTAGTTTCAAGTCTGATAGATTATATTAATTAGTTCATTCTTATTAGACCTTCGAAGTATGAGATTAATTTGGCAAAATTTGAACAGAGACAAACAAAAACAGAGTTATTTGCATACCTTAGCAACATCCCCAAGATTGAGCAGAAGGCTCCCAGGCCAAGGATCCACTGCCAAGAATTCACCATTTTTGTCCATCACTTCAAGACCGCCGACATTTTCGTCGTCTTGAAGAATGGTCAGAAATCCCGAATCCGTGTGAATCTGAACACCAGAGGAACCGATGGATTTGGGAGTGAAATTGTACTTATTTATCCTGAATTGACAAGGCCATCCCTTGAACAAATCGCTATCCAAACCAATGCTCTTTGCCAACTTTCGCCCAATGTCCATGGCTAGCTCATGCACTGCTCCAGCATACTTCTCTATTATCTCTCTGCCAAGAAATTCAACAGAAGAATATTTTGATGATTAAAAACTTGTAACAATTTTTTTTTTTTCCTTTCCAAAACACCCTTTGAGATTGGGTGGGGGAGCCCGGGGATTCAACTTTGAATCTCTCCCTTAGTGAGAGTCTAAAGAGGAGCCTACAATCACTCCATTTAATCCCTCGGGGTGAACAGCTTCGTTGTTATTTTTATTATTATTATTATTTTTCAAAACACCCTTTGAGATTGGGTGAGGGAGCCCGGGGTTTCAATTTTGAATCTCTCCCTTAATGAGAGTCTAAAGAAGAGCCTACAATCACTCCATTCAAGCGAACAGGTTCGTGGACGTTTGATTCATGGATTCAAAATCATTCTCGTTTTATGTGTATTTTTTGTGAAAGAAAAACACTGTAAAGAATCATGATTCAGAATCAATGACGAATATAAGAAACAAAGATAGTTTGTTTTCAAATGTAATTTTACAGAACAACATACCCCCAGGATAGAGGAATGAATATCCAAGTAAGTGAAATTCCAAAACCAAGCAACGTGCTAATAATCTCTAGAAGAAAATTTCTTGTAGGTTTTATAGTAGATTGTTTGTCATTAGTAAATAATCATTACATGAGACTGCTCTGCCCTAATAACTAAATAACACTGCACAAACGTGGCAATGAATTAATGACACCACAATATCTCTTTTTACATTTTAGGGGCTTTTCTGTTTTTGTTTGTTATTATTTTTTTTTTTTTTGAAGGAGACTCTTTTGTATTTTAATTGATTTTACAACTTATGCTACATTCAATCACATATAACGTAGTGTCAATATGGCACCATAACATGGTTGTTAGCATAACTTGACGATTTAAATTCTCTCACCTCCAATTATACATACATATATATATATATATACACGTATCACAATATTCAATATAGTCCTAAAATAATACATACATTTAATCCTAGCTTCTGACAATCAAGGACAAAGCTACTTATTGTTTAGTGAGGGCACATATTCCCGTTAAGATTTTAAGTATTGGAGTTTATATGGAACTTTTTGGCAAAATTTCAACGGTTGTCTCACTCGAATCATTGTCAACTTTAGTCTTTAAAGAATAACTTTAGTCCTTGAAGAACAAGTGTCGTCTAATATATCTTTTGCGATCCAAAATGACACAAAACTGTCTTGAATTCATTATAAATTACAATTTTAATACTTTCGTTAATGAAACTTTAATGTTTAACAGTTTAAATTGCATGTGGGTCACGTGATTAATTAGTAAAAGACATTATAAGAGGCTTTAAGGAAGTGACATTTCTCAACAAAGAAAAAATTGACGTTTCATTAACGTAAGTACCGAAGTTGTAACTTTTGATTAGCTAGGGGTTAGGTGCCATTTTGAGTTGCAATGGGCAAAATAAGATAACACATATCTTGAAAAAAAAAAAAAAAAGACAAATACTTTAAAATGCAGATTCTTGAATTTTTATTCTTTATTTTTTAGTAATACTCTTTAATAAAAAAAAAATTACATTAGTCAAAAAAAAGTATTAATTAAGAGTAAATTATAAAAATTTAGATTAATGTACTTGGATAAGTACGGTAATTTAAATTACATCATTTCCTTTATTTTTTATATTTTGCAATCATTCTCCTTTATTTATGCTAACTATTGCATGGCTCAAATTTATGAAAATTAACAAAATTACTAAATTTTCCTTGAGAAAAAATGAAAATACGCCTAGATTATTAAATTTATAACAGTTAATCATTTTTGTTTGTTGGGGAAAAAAAAAGAAAAAAAAGAAGAGACTTTTTTTTTTTGTTAAAAGGGAAAACAAATAATAATAAAAAAAAACGAACCTCTGGTGAGGAGACGCATCCAGCTGATCACAAAAGGAAGAAAGAGCCTCCGGCGAGCCTAAGTCATAGAGGCCCAACGCCTCGTACAGAGGGTTGATCGCCGACGGTGCCATGTACCCGCTTCCCGCTATGGCGTCAACGTTGCGCCGCTTGATCTCCATCGGACGGTCCAGAAGACATCTCACCGTCTCCTTCATCTCAGCCATCAGATTCGGTGACATTCCATGGTTGACTATCCTGAAACACCCCCATTCCTCACAAGCTTCTCTAAGCTTGTCGTAATCTGAATCTCCGAAATATCGCAGATCAATCACCGGAACAATACTAGTATTGATCTCTACTTGAAGTTCACCCATTTTTTTTAGTATTTTTTTGTTCTGAAATTTCAAGTATTTGTTTTACTTTCTTAGTTTGTTTGTTTATATAGTAAACTTCGTAGCCGGCAATGCTATTGATTTGGAAGTATATTCATGTCCCTCTAAAAAAAAAAAAATAAGTTTGTTTTGATTCACGTGGGATTTATTTTTTCATTGCATTGGGAACGCAGCAATCCTTACTACTTTTCAATTCATTTCTACCTAGTTTGACTCGGCCAAAAAACCAAAAACAGTTTTGTTTTTTTTTTTTCTTTTTTTTTTTTTTTTAAGTTTGCGTGTTGGAGTCAGATAGATGCATTTGTATCTCGGACGACGTCCATGAAAATAATTCAATCCCGTTTATTTTACTAATTTGAGTTTAAATTTTAAATTTTATTATAGTAAAAAAATTTTAAAAACAGTCACATTTAATTTTTTTATTACAGTAAAAAACTCTCACATAAAGTCATATCTCAACTCGAATAAAAAAAATCAAATCAACGAACTAAACGGGTCTGAATCGTTTATTTCACTGGTTTAAAATATAGTTTAAATTTAAGTTATGATTTGAGTTATATATAAGTAAAAATACTTTAACAAAAAAGTTAAATTTAAATTTTTATAAAAAAAAAAACAATGTATCTATAGAACTTGTGTTGTGATTAGGGCATGTTTAGTTCGTTGATTCGAGTTTTTAATTTGAGTTTAGATGTGACTTTGTATGAGAGCTTTTGACTGTAGTAAAAAAGTTATATATGACTGTTTATGAGAACTTTTTACTGTAACAAAATTCGAATTCTCAACTCAAATCAATGAAATGAACGGACCTTAGTTGAAAAATAAATAAGGTCTTGATTTTTTTTTTTTTAAGTTTAAACCCTTGAACCAATGGGCTATTTGAATATTAAAAGAAAGATTATTTAGATCCACTAAATTATGTTAGTAAATCAATGGCATATTTTTTTGGAATATACTTTTCTCTCTATTATTTTAAGAAGCTATATAGTATAAGAGTATGTGTTTTACACTCCACGAAATCTTAATTTAAAGCCCCGAAACTTTTTTCATTTTTTTAATGTGTGCAAGTCCAAAAGACATAAGATCAAGTCAAGTTGTGTTTTCGTGAAAAACAAATATCAAAACTTTTTTGTTATAGTTTTTTTTTTCATAAAATTTAAATTTAACTATTTTGTTAAAATATTTTCTCTCATATTAAATTTACTTTTAAACTCAAATTCTCATCTCAGATTATAAAACCAACATACTAAGAATTATAAAACCAACATAGGAGTAATAATAATATTGACTTCTAGCCAATTGTAATCCGCATCCTAACACTGAAATAGTGGACATACATAAACCTGGCTAAATTTGAGATAAACAATTAACTTTTACAAGTTGAAACACCGACAATTATTAGTATTGTTTTGCTAAACCTTTTTAGAGTAATACTTGTTACTAGTTGAAACATTGTTAGATATTTCATATCACAATTAAATGGAATATGAAATTGATGATAGGAGATGATTCAGAAAAGCAATATTGTCGTTTGAAAGTTTTGACACTGAAAGATTAAAGTATGTACCATATAAGTCAGATGCTAAAATAAATAAGAAATACGTGTGATGTTGAATGTTAGCCATTGATATTTATCATTTATATATATACATATATATATATATCAAAGTGCGGTTTCATTTTCAACTTTAGCTGGCGTCAAACCTTTGTCGTTTTTCTTTTTCTTATGACAATATTCCTTCTTTTTCCTTGAGATGGCAGACAGACTCCAAACGTACAAGCAAACAGAGGACAAGAAATGAAGCAAATACATCATTATGTCGATGAAGAACTCCACCGACCGACAAGGAGACAGAGCCACGGATTTCATGAAAGCCGGAATTGGTTTCTGATGGAAAAGTCCAGTGAGAAAGATTGCATAACAAACGTCAAAAAGAAAATAACATGGGTTTATTCTTTTAGAGTTTAACTTGAATATAATTTTTAAATTGAATTTGAATTAAACTTGTAATTTGAGTTTGTATTTGATTGTGTACATTTGAGTTATAATTTGAGATAAGAATCTTTTTGAGTTTATATTTGAGCGAGTCAAAACTTAAATTTGTATTTAGATTATATTTTAATAAAAACTAAATGCTGATGAAAAATTTTAATAGGGTATATGGGTCAGGTTTTTTTCGTCTTCTCGTTGTCAACGCATAGAAAAAAAAATCATCTCAATCAGAATTAAAACGAAAAAGTTATAGCATTTTTAAGAATAGAAAAAATAGTGTTCATTAATTTGAGTTCGAGTTTCTGAACTCGAATTGAAGGGGAAACTTGAACTCGAGTTTTAATTCTAAACTCGAGTTTAAATTTAAAAGAACATAAACTCGAATAAAATTGTAACTCGAGTTACATTTTTTTAAGTTTTTCACTCAAAAAACAAGCCCATAGTAAAAGAAATAAATAGAAGACAGCTAAATGTGTCTCAGAAAGTTAAGGAAACACTTGTCTTTTAGGTTTTTTTTTCTAAAACAGTATGGTTTCAGAAGATAAACATCACTTGTGTAGTTGTTTTCTCTGTCTCACTATATTGAGGAAACATGGCCATCTTCTCTGTATAATGCTTGCTTCCAGCCGGCCCTAATCTTTGCTTTTTTTTTTTTTTTTTTTTTAATATAATGTAGAATCGAACTCGCATTTTTTCAAATTCAAACCATGTCTCACCATACTTCATGTCGTTTGAGCTAGTGAATTAATCTTTATCGAATCATTTTTTAGATGTAAAAATATTCATGATATCATTTACTTGACAAAATTTGACATTACGACTTTGTCTGAGATGTAGACTATGTTTAGAATTGATCCCATTTTTATTTTTTTTACGTTTTTTAAAAAAATAAAAAAGAAAACGTTTCTAAAACGGCGTTTGGCACAATAAAAATAAAAAAGTGAAATGAAAACGATTTTTTAGTTTAGTGTAAAATGAGATAGAAATAAAAAATGACTTTTAGTCATTTTGCAGTTTTTGTTTTCGTTTTCTCCTCTCTCGAGCAGAGAGAGAAGGAAAGAAACATTAATGAGTTTTTTTAATACTGAAAATAATCTCTTGATAAAACTATCAAATGCATTTTTAAAAATGGTTTCTGTTTGAGATTAAAAACATTTTCATTTTTATTTTCAAATAAAAAAATAAAATCATTTCAAAACGAGTTTTAAACGCGCCCATAATATTGGATTGAATTTTTGTTGTTTGGATTGAGATGGATATGGAGTTTCATAGACATCTTCTCATCAATAATCTCACTATTTTTTTCATGCGTAAGAGAATGAGGTCTTCCACTATAAATTTGGAGTTTTGATCGGACAATTTATCAAACAAAAATTGAGGGAATTAACAATTATGAGAGTAGTTTTCATGGTGATGATAACATAGAGTGGGTGGAAACTGGAAAGGACCAAGAACCCACCACTATAAGCAGAAATGGAACAATATGGTATAAAGTTTTTGGACCAACACTCTTATATATCATGTCTACTTCATAATTTATGCACGTTCACTTTGTCCCTTTAGAATTCAAGGGACAAAGTGAGATGGCATAAAATAAAATTTAAAAAAAAAATGTGAAACTTGAAAGTAAACTCTTTACCATGACAAGCTCTACTGAGCTATTCTTTACCAAATTCCTTTTCGTTTACTTTTTTTTTTAAATAACACAAAATTGCCTAATTGTTAATTAAAGCCTCGTTCATTTTGCCGATTCGAGTTTTTAGTTTTAAGTTTTTACAGTAAAAAGCTCTCAGAAAATGTCACATTAATTTTTCTGCTACAGTGAAAAACTCTCAAAAAATGTTACATCTCAACTCGAATTGAAAACTCAAATCTGCTAAGTAAACAAGACCTAAGTCTTTTTGTAATCAATCATTAAAAGGACAACAAAGGTAGCCCAAACCATGGAAGTAGAAAAGGAATCTGAGCAACCTACTTCGGAGTTGGTTCAGAACTGAAGCCCTTAGTGGACCCCTCAATTTTTGGAGAATATTAAATCGGTATTTGCTCATCAAATTATCGTGTCCTCTCGATGGACCCGTTTAATTTATTAATTTGAGTTTTTAATTCAAATTGAGATGTGACTTTATATAATAATTTTTTACTATAACAAAAAAAATTAAATGCAACTGTTTCTGAGAGCTTTTTACTGTAACAAAACTTAAATTCTAAACTCAAATCGGTAAAATGAACGGAACTGTATAAACTTCTACGACTCCACCGATACAAGGACCTAATAACTCGTTAACCGATTATTAAAATAAGTATTTATGAAGCATTGCAAAGACCACGTTGATTCCCAAAAATAAATAAATAAATACGGATCATATTGAATTGAACGAAGATAATCACTTTTAGCGTCCAAAAAAAAAAAAAAAAGAGTAGCATCAATGTATACGGCATTGACAACTTTTAATTCTTTCTCCAAAGAATATATTTGAAAATCTGCTCTAGAGTCTTTAATCCCGAGTCAAGAGGGGAAACAAAAGGTGTGGTAGAACTTTCATTTACATGCAATTTAGTCGGATAAGCACAGAAAAAAAAAAACTGCTTATCTTCCAAGTTCAGAGAACATGGCTCGGAAACAATATTCTTCCCCCATCACAAGATAAGGGAAAACTGAGGGATATTCATGAATAACCCCAAGACCTCCAAGGATCAAGCAACAAAATACCTATGATTTCACTAGTTGGTTTACTGAAAATAAGCTTGCCGCGGAGGAGGAATCATGCCATCAAGAAAGGCTATATACCATTGAGACAACCATTGTGGAAATGAAGAAAATGATTGCCTTCGAAGCATACTCATAGGTCTTGCAAAATATTTTCAGAGTTTCATAAGTGATGGGGAGCGAGCTTGTTGTACCTCCACAACATCAACAAGCATGCCTGCTTCGTCGTCGACTCGTCATCATCCACCAACTATAGTTCATCATTTTGCAACTCACCAAAATCTACTAACGCCACTCTCGGCATTGGTTGCACTTCCAGAGGCCATCAAATGATGACTGGTCAGTCGAGGGCAAACAATGACTGTGTACCCAAAGCCCACAATTCTGACAAGAAAGATCGGGATCTGGTTCTTCATGGAAACAAAGCTGACACTTGGCAGATGCTGATGGCATGGGATTCCATGCATTGCTAATGTTCATTCCATGTTGTTCACAGACCTCATCCTGTGAAATTGCGCAGAACTTTCCCTGATCTTCTGGTTCCTCCCCAGGAGCATCAGCTCCCAGCAACTCCGAAAAAGTGAAAAAGGTCTGGGGTTCAAAATCATAATCAAAACCTTCACCGTCAAACATTATGTCACCTTCCACACCGTCGACAGAGATATCCCATTCGGTAGGAGGATACAATGTGTTCTCTGTAGGTTCCATGGGGTTTTCCATCATAGTATCCGAATAAAATTCAGCATTAGAAAAATTACTGCCCGGAAAATCATCCAAATCCCCTTCACGCTTCACATGCCTTCTAACTGGCAATTTCTGTGGCCCTGGCCTACCAGTGTCCCATTCAGTATCAATTTCTGAATCACGCTCCATAACAAGCTCGACTCTTGAAAGAGGAAAAAGAAGAGGATCATCGTCCTGTTGGGACACTTCCTCCAAGGGAAACATTGGAGTAGAGGGTTCACTTTGTCTGGAATAGAAAATGGTCCCAGAATCGGAGTCCACTCCGGAACTTTCTTGCTTCAAAGGTGTAATGCATGTTTTCTTGCTTTCACTCATCGGAGTCGCAATTTCACTCAAGGGAAACATTGGAGTAGAGGGTTCACTTTGTCTGGAATAGAAAATGGTTCCAGAATCGGAGTCCACTCCGGAACTTTCTTGCTTCAAAGGTGTAATGCATGTTTTCTTGCTTTCACTCATTGGAGTCGCAATTTCACTTTGTCTTGGGTAAAAAGCAGTTCCACTATCAGAGTCCACCCCAGAATTCTCTCGTTTCAAATGCCGAATGAAATTCTTTTTGCCCTCCTGTGTTTTCTCTTTATGGTCCATAAAGGGACACAACGGTGATTTTATCCTCCTGCACTTGCAACACTTGAAGCCTGCTATATCAAAAATCTTTGACTCCTCGAGTTTAACAGCATCAGCGTGATACCAATCTGCCAATGAACACATACTCTAAATTAAACATAAAATAACAGAGATATAAGAAATTTTCACTACAACATCAACAAGCCTTAATCCCAACTAAATAAGATATTTTCACTGTGAAAAAGAAAAAGATAAAGCGCCTAATGTCTGGATAAACTTACTTTTGCAAGTTTCGCAGCAAATATACATCAGATCTGACCTATATGGCTTTCGGCAAAGGTGGCATTGAGGTTCCATCCTGTGGGCACCCAAGCCACCCCCCTTTAAAAGAATGTTATTAAGCCTGAAATCAATGCTTGTATCTTTAATGTTTTGATCAGGAACGCTTGAATCCTTACTGTTCTTCTTCTTCCAGATGACACCCCAATTACACTGCTTGCGTCGACTTTTCACAGCTATACTAGATTCAGAAGTAGCTTGTTTGGTCACAGAAGGAGTGTCCTGTGCTCTGATATTAGATTTACCCACGGTCATCAAATTCTTGTATTTTGGCACTTGCAAGTGCAAAGGACTAGTTGGAGATTCATTGCAAGTTCCATTCTGCGTAAGAACTTTTCCGTGGTAGCACTGCTTGCACATCATCAAAAACTCAACTTCCTCATTTGTTGAAAATGTTGAACTAACTGTACAGTCTCTATGACAAAAACCTGCCTCATATATTGGAACAAGTTAATAATTCATCGAGTTCAATACAAAAATAGACCTTAAAAACTAAGGAAGAAGCAAGGGATTGTTCCAGAAACAGAAAACATTATTCACTAAGACTGACAGTTCATTAATTACGTCCGACCGATATAGATGTAGCACCATGAATCTTTCATGGCTTTCCAAAAACCTAATCTGAACTCAAAAAAGCAGTTCTCTTCATAATGTGCATGAATACTTATGGTTGATTTGCCAAAAATAAGAAATGGACTATAGCCCACACCACATCACTCACAGTAAAAAATAAAATAAAATAAAATAAAATAAAATAAAATAACACATATTTGGGTTCAATCTAAAAGTATCCAAGCACATTTTTTTTTTAGTTTATTCTAGAATGTTCATATCATAGGCTTTGCTCATCCAATCTTTCCAATTATAAGGCCAAATATCAAGTTCAGTCTCATTCCAACTTCCAAGCCAAGATCACCTAATAGGCGCTGGTTTCAACATTTAATTAGTTAGTTGAAGGATATCAATGCCAAAGAGATATAATTGCTAGGTGTTCCAAATCCTAAAGTGACTAAAAAATAAAATTTACCTTATTCAGAATAATAATAATAACAGAAAATTAGAAAAGAATTAAAAAAAAAAAAAAGAGCTTTAAAATTAGCAATGTTCTACCCTCCACGACCACCCTGCAAAGGAATCAAAATTAACATCACGGTGAGAATGTACCTTTGCACACACCGCACTTGACTGCCGTCCTAAAAATGGAATGAAAAAGTACTTCATGAGCCTAGGCAAGTAGGTGCAAGGAAAGGAGATAAAAAGGAGAACATCAAATAATCATTACCCTAATACAGCATCCATTTGACATGAAATACAGGTGCATATCTCCAGATTATCTCTCTTGCATGTAAGGTAGAAAAACACATCTCTGTAAGGAGCCTTCATCCGTTTCTTCTGCAACTTAGGCAAGAAATTAAAAGGCTCCTGAATTGATGGCAATGGCACTTCAATAGCACCTCGTTCGTACTCTTTAATCAAGTATAAAGGAACCCGATTTTCATGAAACCAAAACTTCTCCTGCCCATCCTGACTTTGCTCAATTTCAATGATACTCTTCATGACACGGGAAGGAAGATGCTTTTGGCCGGCAAAGGCAATCCCATAAATGACCTTGTTTTCCAGAACTCTTTTGCTACAAATGACCGCATTTCTAAAAGCAGATGCTTCTGTCTCTGCACATTTCCCATCCTGGAGATTTTGCTCAGGATGAACAAGATCACTCCATCTTACATGACAGTCAAGGTATCTGACCTGATTCAAATTCCAATTGAATTATTTCAAGTTAAACTAACTGACTCCACATGTAATCCCTCATGCTGCCAACAAGAGAATATCCAAGCAAAGATTAGGGGGAATGAAGACTTAAGTGCAATAGCAAAAAGGAACCAGACCTGAAGTGCAAGCTGGGAGGCATTATTACTCATTTCAACCGCAGCCCTCCAAGCTAACTGTCTGCTTCTTTTAGGAATCTCAGAACCATCAGTATAAAATACACTAGAGATTTTCCTCGAACCTCCTAAAAGAAGACAATCATCAGCATGCATTTTTTTATCCAAGTTTTGTGTATCATAAGAATGAAAATTTATTTTGTTAAAGATATTATATCAAGTGGTAAAAGAGTAACCGACTGCTTAAAAATTTGAGTAACTGACTTGGTTTTGCAGAATGTTACCTTGACGAGCTGCTCTCTTTACCATTGCAGAGGGCAAAATTGCTTTCTGGAATACAAGCTTTGATTGCTTCCCCCCTTGCCACCAGATGAAGCTTTTTTCATGGCAACCATCATCTGTAAGTTCAGACATAGCAGATTGCTTCTTTCGCCTACCAGGACCACATTTTTGTGTTGTTCCAGCAGTGCATGAAGCATTTTGCATTGCCGAATATTCAACCAACCAATCATCAACAAGCTTAACCCAATCACTCAAAAGAGCAATAATCCGTATATTTTCCTCGAGCTGCAAATAAAACACGGATCATCCACTAAAATGTAATAGCACATAAATGCGTACAAATCTAAATACAGGACACCAAGGTTGTGTCTGGTATGAGGGTTCTAGAACTGGAACCATGATTCTTGTTCAAACCTTTGTTTGTTTGCAAAAAGTAAAAATGGTTCTTGAAAATCAGTTGGATGATTATGATTCAAGGTTTGAATCCTTATGTGATGTTTTAAACCAGAGCCACCCCAAAAAATAAAACCACCCCCCCCCCCCCCCCCCAAAAAAAATGTTTTAAACCAGGGCCCCCCCAAAAAAAAAAACCCCCCCCCCCCCCCCCGGTTTTGGATGGTTCAAACCCATGGTTCTGATTTCGGTTCCATAACCATGGTTTGGACCCCAAGTTCAAACCATGAATCATGGTTCTAGTTCTAAAACCAAAACCACCCTGGTTTGAGCCCTCATACCAAACGCAACACAAATGATCTGCAGTTTTCACCTCAGGTATGCTGCGTGTTATGTTTCTGACCTACCAGATCAATTTCTAGCAGTTTTCACATAAACAAAACTCAACAGATGTTTTAACGCTCATAGATAAAGAATGCAGGAAAACGAGAGCTTAAAAACTGCACCAAGCACTTGTTGGTCATAAATAGGGTTATTTCATGAAAATATATCTTTATATAAAATGATTAACATGTCTATATATTAGGTTAATAGAGAAAATGTCATAGCTCTTCCATTAGAGATTTCCGTAACAACAGGATTAAGAAGTTAAGTAAACTTTTTTTTTTATCCAAACACATGCATGCACTACAATGGACAAGCATCTGAGATTCTGAAGTGCAATCTGGCGAAACAAGCAAGAAGCATTTACAACACACATGCAATACCTAATAAAAATTATGTGTGCGCATGTGTCTTTAAGAAAAGAATTTAAATTATTTAAGTAACAATACAAACAAATCACTGATAAAAAATACAAATAAATCTATGAATATAAATTATAAGAACTTATTAAACCTCATACTTCTTTTTTGTCTGTAAAGATTATCAGGCTTGATACAAATTAAACCTCATACTTCTTTGATACTTATACCTTATAAATCACAAACCTTAAGTCCTAGCAAGCGCGTGATACAAACTAATACATACTTCATAGAATTCCTTGCAGATTTTTTCTTTTTTTTTTGGCAATCTAATACTTGACAGAATTCCTCACAGGCAATTTTCTCCTCCAACTACACTTTCCCGCTTACCAATAAAAACTTAAAACTAAACTATTTCTCTAAAGTTTAAAAGACAAAAATTACCGCAACCCCTAGATATCCACAAGAACATAAAAGCAGATCCATGTATTTGCTTCAGCAAAGATGCATTTCCTTCGAATCTTGTGGAGAATCAAACATCAAACTTATGTTTGGCTCACTAGGTGGAACTTATGAGTGGGAAAGAGAAAGAGATGCCACTTTACAGGCCACATACTAGAAAGAAAATTGTAACGCAAAATAATAAACCCAAAAAAGCAAACCAAATGATAAATAAAGAACTTACTTCAAGCAGGAGGGCTTTTATTTCACTGCAAGATGACGCTTGTTCCACCTGTTTGCACCATTGTTTCCTATAACTTGCATTCAGAAAGGGGCCAACTATTAGACCACATAAACTTTCCTCCATATATAATATGTATGTTGCAATGCTTGCAAGACTCCCCTCTCCACTCTTTAAGGGACGGAGGGTGGCAAGGATCCTAGTAGCACCTTTAGTGGCACTTAAGGCAGCATGATTTAACATACACCCTCTCTTGCTCGAGACAGTAGCCTTACAGGATAGGCACCAACCACACCTCTCCCTTGGAACCTCCACAAGCTTCTTCTCAGAAGTGGGCCAGAAGAAACGTGAGGCTACTAATGAGAATGCTTTTGTTTGCAAATAGTTTTCAGATGCGACTTTTTTGGAATTACCCGAAGTATGAGTCTCTGAAACCCGAGTTTCTTCTGAAGAGAGAAGAGCCAACTTAGCAGCAGCTGATGAAGCAAAGTCCCCGTGCATATAATGATTTAAATAAGCCTGAGGTTTATAAAGAGACCCCATGTACACACAATCATCAAATGAATTGCTTTCACCCTTCCCTAAAGCTTCATAATTGCCTTTGTTTCTCTGAGAAGACAAAGTCACTAGAAAACGAATACCATTTCCATGCCCAGTGTAATTGCAGTTACTGGTAAGTTCTTCTGCAGTTGATCTCTCAACTAAACTTTGATTGCTGAAATCAGAATGACCAACATGTTGGCTAACTGAACCAATCAACCCATCGGCCTTGATCTGAGAACTAGTAAAGTCAACTTGAACCATATTAACGCAAGTCTCAAGTGATGTTGTCACGTCGCCCATACTACTTTCATTTATACTAGCAGTGTTGTTGTGATCATCCGCGACAGGAAGAGGAAGTGAATAAGTAGGTAAGATGGCATCTTCTTTTGGCTTTGCTGAATCTGCATCTCTTTCC